AATATAGATTGATACCCGCAGGTTTTTCTTCAGATCTTCTGAAAATAAGTATAAATCATTACAGCCAAGCACATTTCAGCGTAATTTTAGGTCCCCATTTGGAGATCTCAGGCTTCGATTTTAGTGTAATTTTGTAGACCGAACAAGAAGCAAAAACCGGTGTGCCGTCAAGTCGCTGTCGTTTATTCACAATTTATTCAAATGCTCTTATTTTTTGGAACAGAGAACCTGAATTGTATCTTAACTTGTTGATCTAGTTGAAATTTGGAAATAGTCAGGCGTTTTGACACAGCGCGGCTCTACAGTTTACCGAAATTCAACCTTCGATTTTGCTTGAAATTAGCTCTGCACGGGTAAAATGAGTTTCGGCGTCTAGCGAAGCCATAAAAAAGAATTTTCAAAAAATAAATTTATTTTGGACACTTGTATACCAATGCCTTTCAACACACAAAAAATAAAGGAAATCTATTTTCCGAAGTCAAAGTCATCGGACCGCTCTTAGCGGGACTGCCACTTAATTTCGTACAAGCTATAACTATAAGAAGGATCAAGATGTAATTTATGTTTGTACGGAAAATTTGTATTATGAAAGAAGACAAACGATTTTTTCTTAACAAAAGGTCCGATCTGTAGTTGCAAAAACAAATTTCAATAAACCTATTAAAAAAAGGAACAGGATTGCATGGAATGTTTGAACGTACAGCTCCCGCCAAAAATCGAAATGTGCTTTAAACGACTTAATTAACAACGACCCATCTTGTGAGTAGATTGTAGAAGTAATTTTAAAAATAAATGTTGTTGTCTATAAGCCGAGAAAATCAAAGCTAAATCGATGACAATACGATAAATTACCGCCATTATCATATTGACTAAAACGTTTGTTGACTGGCACCTTAATGCAATATGTATTTTCTTCAATAATCAATATAACGAAAAAATTGTGTAAATTGGAGTAATCTGTTTCAATTATTTGTTGATGGAATTTACAAACCATATGTTACGTGCCGTTTAGGGAAGGTCATCTGAGTGTACTAATGGCTAATAGCTATACCTATATGTAACTTATTTATATGTTTGTCAGCAATACTATTCTGTGGTAAACTCAGTTTTTCTCACGTGAAAAAGACTTGCCACTCATGGTTCACTTATCATTCAAGTGTTGTCTACTATACTCCCAAATTAACAAAGCGCCACTTAAGAGAGCGGATTGTTCCATGCATGTTGACGGATCTCAACACATCCATCTAACAACTGGATAATTGCCACACGAATACCAGCCTTTTCATTTCCCAGGACTAGCACTGTGCTGCGAGGGAACTGGAAGTCGATCAATTTTTTTACTCTGTGCAGTGTATTTTCTGAATTCAATATAACGACAAATTGCGTAAATCTGAGTAATCTATTTATTTATTTGTTTATGGAATTTACAAAACACATGTTAGCTACGTACCTTTAAAGCCTGGTTCACACTAGCAATTCTGTCGGCGATTTTTCTCCTTCTGGCAAATGTGATCGAATGAATGACATGCAAAAGACTTAGAATTGTGTACTTTTGAAAAGCGACCTCTATACTTTTGTGTGCGAGTTCACTCATTTGCATCTGTCAGAAACACAAAATTGCCGACAAAATTGCTAATGTGAACCAGGCTTAAGGGAAGGTCACCTGAGTCTACGGCGTTAACGGTAATTGGTGTTTTATCTCTGTATTTACCGCCAAAACAATAGTCAAAAATAATAAATAATGAAAAAAGCCTCATGCTTTTTAAAATTCAGACCCGGACGCGGCAGATCTATGACTTTCATTCTCATTGCCTAACCGGCATATATGCGAAAGGAACGTTTTAAATACATTTTGAAATTTATTATCTGCATTTTACCGGAAACAGACCCGCGATACTCCCCTTAAATTAATGCCACAGCGTAGCAACGGCAAAGAAGCCCAACTTGAATCCTTCATTTCTTTTGAATCATTTAAATAAAAAATGTAACTATATATAACTATTTATATGTTTGTCAGCAATACTATTCTATGGTAAACTCAGTTTTTCTCACGTGAAAAAGAGTTATCACTCATGGTTCACTTATCATTCACTTATCATTCAAGTGTTGTCTACTATACTCCCAAATTAACAAAGCGCCACTGACGTGTACGTTAAGAGAACGGATTATTCCATGTTGACGGATCTCAACACATTCATCTAACAACTGGATAGTTTCCACAGGTATACCAGCCTTTTCATTTCCCAGTACTAGCACTGTGCTGCGAGGGAACTGGAAGTCGGTCAATTTCTTACTCTGTGCAGTTTGTTCTACACCAACAATTGTGAAGCCTTCTCTCTTCATTCTTAACAAATACATCTCCAAATCATGAATCTTAACTTCCTCGACATCAACCCACTTCTCCGATGAAACACTCACAGATTTGAAGTCTTTTTCGGAAATAACATGTTTACTGCCGAGTACAAGTCTGGACGCACCAAAGATTTCACATGTTCGGCATAGACCGCCGAGGTTAGGAGCACGATCAATTAACGATGCTACGACGATGAGATCACCAACGCGACGCTCTATAGGACGTCGACGGAGTTGATCAAAACTGTCTTGGTCCTCGTGCAATGGAGCAATCACATTCCAAGGAGTGATCTTCTTTTGCACATCTGAGCTAACACTTGAAACGCTAGATGTTTCTGTTTTCTCATGAGCACTTTCGTTAGTACATAACTCAAGCTGGGTCTCTTTCTCTCCAGATGCTTGGCTTTCTTGCTTTAGATTCCTTCTATATAACGGGAAACCACTCATCTCCACCCATGCTTCACTGCCTTCATGTTGAAATACACTTGGGGGAATCACTTCATCATCAACCACACCAGTAATGAAAGGAACTGTTTTAAAAATCACTTCAATACTAAAATCTTTGATTGGGTGCAAGGAAAACAAGTCCCGATCTTTCTGCAGCCGAATCTTTTCTTTTTCTCCTTCAACAACACTCTGTGTAAACAACAGGCATGATTGCACAATAGGAAACTCTTGACTGATTTGAGACCAAACATCTTCGGAGGATGTGTCGGAGATCAGTTGTAACGCAGCTAAAATGTAAGCACGGATTTGAGAATGGTTTAGAAATGCACATGGAACAATGGCGGGTATTAATCGCTGAAGATACTGCATCTGAGACTCTGGTTCGTCCATAGTAAGAAATACGTGTGTTATTATGGAGATTAATGACGCGACGTAACCAAGTCGAGTTTTGTAAAGATTCTTCATTTCTTTCCAAATTGTTTCAAGAAGATGAATATGACTAGAGAACAGTCTCACTAAGCTCCACTCCATAAAAAACCTTACTGATGTCTGATTATCTCCCTCCAATGCTTTTTGAACGCCGTTGGAAAATTCCAATGCAACTTTTTCATCTGTAATTCGTGAGACCAAAATCAGGATGATTTGCCATAGCCTTTGCTTTTTGCGATGATTTTCAGAATTCAGAAAGCGACTAGCCTTGATCTCTGAAAGCGTTTGATTTCTCTCCAATAGAACTCTTACAAGTTTAACAATAAACAATGGGCAGGTTTGACTGTTGTAATCCACACTGAGCAAAAACGCCAGAAGATCAACGCGAACACGTGATGACTCACATTCACATTCTTTAAATTTCTTAAGGCTAACAACCCCAGATTCTTCGCCTAAGCATTTGACATAAGCTGCGGTGTCAAGCAAAAGCCTCTGATCTTTTCTATGAACTGGACCAAACAAGCATATATCAGCAATAATATCGGCATGAAAATTCAAACTCATCACGTTAATTGACTGTGACCGATACATACTTGCGAAAACTTTACATAAGTGAGCAACAGCCACACTCACCAAACCAGATTGATCATCAGCTGTATTAAGTAAGGACTCCCAGTACTTTCTTACATATGATACCAATAAACTATCGGCAGGAAGACTTAACAGTTCTGGGGCGAAAACAATTCTAACTACAATATCGAAAGCTGGCCAAAAATAACCACTATAGCGAGTTCGGATTTCGTTGACCACGCTCCAAGCAGTTTTTAACAACAAAATCGTCGTCTTTTCATCTCCAGCTTGTATTAATGCGGGCAAACAAAGCCGTAATGTCTCCAAACAAGGGTAACACGCTGGTCCTGATGCCAAAGACAAAGCTTCAACACATGCTTCCACGATGTGACTATACGAACTTCTAGCAAGTGCATCTGATGACGAACTATTTGAAATTACTTTGCTATCGCTTTCCTTGATCGCCATGTTAACACACTGCCACTTCGTGATAATGATATCCTCAGCAACAGTACGCCAGCTTGCCTCCTTCAAGTAAGAACCCTCGCGACATTTTCCTTCATTTGGAAAACGCAAATTGCTTGTCAATGTAAGTGACCAGACAGATTTCAAAAACTTATTTCTCCGTTCATTGGTGAATACAAAATCTGTGGCATCAGTAACATCGACGATCCAAATATTCAACTTTAAAGTAACCAGAAAGCGCAACCAGTGTTTCACTGTCATACACTGTGTCCCGGTACCCCAAAGAGAAAGTCCCATGTCAGCAAGTTTGTTGAGTAATGTCTGAAACTTCAGGTACACATTCTCTGGAAACTTGTGAGTTAACAACAAAGATTTTACTTTCTCTAACATGGCGAAGTAAGCATTGTAACCGTGGAAACTAGAATATTCATCCTCCTGACCAATAGTTCGAACGAGCGTCTCTGTAAGACTGTCTAAGACGTCATGTAGGCTGCTCATAAGAGTAACTGTTATATCATCAGCAATTGTACGTTCTTTACATTTTCCCAACAACTCATGAAACAGTCCATAAAGCATTTCAACTGCATTCCAACAACTGGAGACAGGATGGTAGACATTCGACTGAGCTTTACTTACGGTTGCAAAAATGATATCAAAAAGATGGTTAATTTCATTCTTGGTCATTGCTGAGCAGTCGCAACATAAAAGAAGAAACTTAGCCAATTCTAGTGCAGTTTCTCTAGTCTTGCCACTGTATTCACCCTTTAAAAATGATCGTACGTGGTTATCCAAACATCTACAAAATAAAGAAACCGTAAATAATAATACTGCCGATGCGCTTCAACGTTTCGAGGGAATCCTCGTCATTGGCAGAGTACGTTCTATTGACTAATAAACACCACCAAGCAGGGGCGTAGCCAGCCCCAAACGAGTTCGGGGAAGGGGATCTAATTGTCGAATTCAGAGAACAACTATGGGACCGTCCTTCCGAGGGAAATAGACACGTGTTACGATAATAATCTGAAAGACACAGAATTAGTATATTTTATGTCATGCATGTAGATAAAAGCAATACCGGGTTACGCCTCCCCCCAGTTTCTTCTCAGTTTTGGAAGAATTACAAAATTGGTCCGGACCCCCGTTCCCCCCATGCCCCGTCCGTGACAACGCCCCTGACAAGACAAAATCTCCGCAAGCAAAACGATTTATCCTCGGCGACAAAACCAACAAATCACTGAATTCAAACAAAACACCTTTTTGTTTACAACAAAACACATTTTTGTTTATCATTATTTTCATTTCCATGAAGAAACGTTTTAACACAATATAATCGGTAGTTATGTAGTTTGTAACAGAATCACTGAATCGAGAGTCTAACATATAGCGCTTCATGGAGTATTACCTTTCGTGATGACTCACTTCGTCCTAATGTGCATTTCACGAAATGCTATTGGGCGTCATTCAAGCGAATATTCTACTTTTGTTATGGATTGCTTTTGTAAGTGGTTTACATTGTATTGTTCTTTTATTTATGCGGCATTAGCTTTTGCAAGTTGTCGCCCATTGAAATTGCGAGTAGGATGTGCGTGCAAATCGTCCTATCAAAAAAAACTTTAGTTTGTGGGGATTTTATTGGCAGGGTTTTTGTCATGTGTGTCATTAGTACCCAAACTTGGAGACTGCGGGAAAGGTGACACATGAAAGTCAACTAGGGAAAAATTTAATCGCATAAACAACAAACTCTTTCAGCTACACTCTAATACTTACGTAAACAAATCTTTTGTTTCTCTCTGGTAAAGATCGTGACTTTCAGACAACCATGCTGTAACCTCGTTCCAAAGCTGCGTCCCTCTACACAGTGACTCTTCCTTCACAAACGAACCAAGAAATACCAATACTTCGTGAACATTGACGCTCGTAGGTTTGACAAGGTTCATAAATGTTCTCAAGAGTAAGGTCTTTACAGCTCCACGTAACATAACTGAATGACTGATCATGGTTGACATAATAGTCCTTAAACTGCTCAGTACTTCGCTACCAAACATTGGAAATCGTGGTACATTGGAGAGACTTTGAGAAATAAAGGTAAGTGGCACATGGCTAATGTTATAACGAGAAATAGAAGTAAACAGTTGCATGAAAAATCCAGTTTTCTCTTCATCATTCAGAGCTTGAAAACATTTCTTGAAAAATCCCAACAATTGTTTGGTTAATGCACTTGGTTCAGCTTTGCCTTCGCCGTGGTTCTTGGCATACAACGTTGGTTCTTTGAGCAACATAACGAATGTATCACATGTGAAATTTCTTGTCACAACATTTTCTAATATTGGTACTTCGTCAAGATTCAATGTCAATAAGACCATAATGCCCCATTTCTTTATGAATCTGTTCTCATGTATTGCAGCTCTATGAACAATCACAGACAACCATGAAACGTGCAATAAAGGAAAATAGACATCTACAAAAACAATATAATCGACGCCATTTTAGGATTTGTATTGTATTGTATTGTATTGTATTGTATTGTATTGTATTGTATTGTATTGGAAAGGACAAACGTGTATTGGAAAGGACAAACGTCCGCTATACATTATATACCAAGTGTCTTTGACAAGTTGCCGTATACAGTAAAGGAATTCAATAATTTCATATGTGCGAGTGCCACTCACAGGCACATTTTGCTTTTGTGCTAGCACATTCACGACACTATTTACTGCATAAAACACTTCAAATTTCGAGTTTTGTCGACGTTCGCGGGCACAATTTATATAGAAATTACAATTCAGGGCATTTGTGCGAAAACAAATTTTTGCTTTATACCAGTCAAGAAAACACCAGTCAAACGAAACATGAACAGGAAGTCAGGAACCCTAATTTTAATTTTGCAGCCACATTATAATATAATATATAGATGCGACCTGTTTATGTCTATAAGACTTATATACATGACCTATACTAAACTGTGAAGACTGCACGCTCTTCATCTATAGTGCCTAACTACAATAAACTGAAATAAATGTAATGTCATATCAAACAACTGTATTTCGTACCTTTAGTTTTCTTCGTTATGTTTATAAGTTCTTCAATGCGTGGAAGGACTGGTTGAATCACATGAAGCTGATTAATTAAAAATCAAAGTCAGATCTGTTGAAAGTGAAAATATGTACTTGCCAAACATTTTATTCGCTATAGCGACTGCATGCTAATATAATGGACACACTGAATGTTTATATTGAAATATACTGCATACATGTAGAGGAAAATGCACAGCATTGTCAGCATATTTTCAAAGATTTTCAGAATTGCTTAACATTTAGTGGGAACCCAAAATAATCATTTGGTTTGAAGGAAACACAGCCTCTAATTATTTCACGTGACAGATGTGAATATTGGATAAACGAAATAGATGAACATGCTTTTTCCACAACGACGAATCAGTTATATTTATCACCTTCCACACTCACAAGAAACAGAAATTTTAAACATTATAACTCCGAGCTGCATACATACATAATAACATTTATTACTCAGTTCGCTCCCCATCGGAGTGATTCAGAGCTAGTAGAAAGCGAAAATATGTCTGATTTTAAGGTACAGTACTGTATCTATTAGACAGCAACTGCGAAATTATATCAACTATTACGTGAAAATATTTGCAATTACAGAGGATAAATGGATACTTAGTAGTTACCTGTTTTTCTTCCAAAGTTTCCAAGAAAGAGACATATTGTTGCCAGACATCTAGAATTTCTTCAGCACTATCGGGATTCCACCAAAATACTGGCGATGTTTCCTCCAGATACACTTTCTCCTCTTGATCTTGTTCTTTACACATCTCAACCACTCTTTGAAGTAAGTACAAACTTCGTTTTCTAACTAATGAATCTACGTTGACCAAACCAACTTGAATCATGGACCAGAATACAGGATCGTGGTGAATTTTGAATACAGTTTTGCTGCTTTCTTTAAAATACAGGTCAGCAAGGGAGGACATAATGGCATAGGAACTCAGGAAACCAGACAAACATTGTTTTTCTCTTTGTCCTTGGAGTATTGTTATCTTGACTGATTCCCATATTATCTGCAACATAAATTATTAAATACGTAGATGGAACAAGCTTGAGCCAAGTGGGCGCTGCTTATGGAGTGGACACGAATGTAAACCAAGGTATAGCGCATCATCAATAAGATGAGATGATCTATTAAGACTATTTTAGAAAAAGGTTGCCTGGTTGGTCAGAGAAAGGAAATAAAACTATTGTATTTGAAAATACCTCCAAATTTGATATGGAAATTGCCCACATCA